ACTGATTAGGGATCAACGCACAGCCCAAACGGTATAAGCTAGGAAGCTAAAATTTGGACTCAAGTATCATTTCATAGTATCCAACATAGTATAGGTGCGCACTAAGAAAGGCTTTTGGAAAATTAGAGCTCCAAAGGGGGGAAAACGAACTTTAAAAAATATTAGTTATAAGAACAAAAATGTAACGGACTAACAATTTGATACAATTTGAAACATTATACAAGTATTGAGGTGGGTTAATACGGGCAATACCTGCTAGTATATATATAAGGGTACAAACATAGTTAGCGCTAAGACGAAGCAGAAGACGAATTGCTTGCTATGCGAGCCAGCCGACAGTTGTTGTGAAAGACGAATTCGATGCGTATTTATTTTTGTTAGTCACATTTTTATACTCTGTACATGAAATGTACAAGAGTATATTATTTTTTTGATTTTCCTTCCCACTTCCCCCCTATGGGGGTTTTTCCGTAACGCCGTTCGTATAATCGCCTATATCTCAGAGACTATAAGAGCTAGGGACCAAATGTTAGTCCCAGATACCTTATGTGAATACGAAGAAAATGTATTTTTCGGAATTTCCCTCCCTCTCCCCCTCAAATCGCGATTTTCTCAAACTCCCGTAATTCTTGGAATTTCGAACTAAAATTTTGCAAATACCCCCAATTAGTTATTATGTGTCCGTATGCCAAGTTTCACTATGATAGACCGATTTAACAAGAAGTTATAGCCATAAATATATTTGCTGCTGCAGCGCTGCTCAAGCGCTGCCCAAGCGCTGCCCTCGGCTGTTGTTGATGCTTACACAGACACGAATAGATGCGCATAGGTATACATACACTCACACAGACGCAATTGCTATGTAAATGTGCAATTATACACCATTTACGTGAGTTCAAATACCAAGAAGGTAAAATCGATCAACATTTTTATACTCTGTACATGAAATGTACAAGAGTATATTAGGTTTGCGCGAGCTGAAAAATGTAACAGGCAGAAGGAGGCGTGGGAGACCCCACAAGGTATATATATTCTTGATCAGCATGACGAGACGAGTCGATCTAGCCCTGTCTGTCTGTCTGTCCGTCCGTATGAACACCTGGATCTCAGAGACTATAAGAGATAGAGACACCAAATTTTGCACAATGATGCCTGTGTGTGTATTCTATACGAGTTTGTTTTCTTTTTTTGGATTTCCTCCCCACTTCCCCCCTATGGGGGTTTTCCCGATTTTCCATTCGTATAATCGCCTATATTTCGGAGACCATAAGACCTAGGAACACCAAATTTTAGTCCAAGGTGCTTTGTGTGAATACGCAGAAAATGTATATTTTGGAATTTCGCTCCCTCCCCCCTCTCCCATGCAAATTGCGATTTTTTCTAACTCCCGTAATTCTTGGAATTTCGAACTAAAATTGCAAATACCCCCAGTTAGTTATTATGTGTCCGTATGCCAAGTTTCACTATGATAGACCGATTTAAAAAGAAGTTATAGCCATAAATATATTTGCTGCTGCAGCGCTGCTCAAGCGCTGCCCAAGCGCTGCCCTCGGCTGTTGTTGATGCTTACACAGACACGAATAGATGCGCATAGGTATACATACACTCACACAGACGCAATTGCTATGTAAATGTGCAATTATACACCATTTACGTGAGTTCAAATACCAAGAAGGTAAAATCGATCAACATTTTTATACTCTGTACATGAAATGTACAAGAGTATATTAGGTTTGCGCGAGCTGAAAAATGTAACAGGCAGAAGGAGGCGTGGGAGACCCCACATAGTATATATATTCTTGATCAGCATGACGAGACGAGTCGATCTAGCCCTGTATGTCTGTCTGTCCGTCTGTCCGTCCGTCCGTCCGTATGATCACCTAGATCTCAGAGACTATAAAAGCTAGAGACACCAAATTTTGCACAAAGATGCCTTATGTGTGTACGCTATACGAGTTTGTTTTATTTTTTGGATTTCCCCCCCACTTCCCCCCTATGGGGATTTTCCCGATTTTCCATTCGTATAATCGCCTATATCTCGGAGACTGTAAGACCTAGGAACACCAAATTTTAGTCCAAGATGCCTTGTATGAATACGCAGAAAATGTATATTTCGGAATTTTCCTCCCTCCCCCCTCTCCCCCGCAAATGCGATTTTCTCTAACTCCCGTAATTCTTGGAATTTCGAACTAACATTTTGCAAATACCCCCAGTTAGTTATTATGTGTCCGTATGCCAAGTTCACTATGATAGACCGATTTAACAAGAAGTTATAGCCATAAATATATTTGCTGCTGCAGCGCTGCTCAAGCGCTGCCCTCGGCTGTTGTTGATGCTGGTGCTTTGGTTAACTGCACACATTTTTACACAGACACGAATTGATGCACATAGGTATACATACACTCACACAGACGCAATTGCTATGTAAATGTGCAATTATACACCATTTACGTGAGTTCGAATACCGAGAAAGGTAAAATCGATCAAAAATTGTTTTTTTTTAATTTTCTTAATTTTTTTATTTTCTATAATTATTGTAAACATGTGTACAGAGTGTTTCAAAGTCGGGACACCCACCTTTAGCTTTTTTACTTGTTTAATTTCTATAATTATTGTAAACATATGTACAGAGTATTTCAAAGTCAGGACACCCGACTTTACCTTTTTTACTTGTTATTAATAATTTAATTTTTTTTTAAATTTTTAGAAAATGTAAGTGCACGTGCACGCGCCGATATCAGTGCTCGGTTGCCATGACTCGAGAATTACCAAAACTCTACGGTCATGCGGGCATGATTGTAAATACGACATTCGATCATTGCTTGCACGTAGGCAACAAGTTTCGGTCACAACCGCTCATTCTGAGTCTTTGCAGTTATGAGTCGAACTGACTAGTTGCTGAGGGTTCGTTTAAAACAAATCATTGCTTGTATTCATGCAAGACGTTTCGAACACAACCGCTCATTTCTGAGTTTTTGCAGTTTCGATTCGAACTGAGTGTTGAGGGCTCGTTCGCAAAAAGTCATTGCTTGTCCCTATACCCAAATGAAATAATCATACCGAGTATGGGTAAATACTCGAGTATGACCGAAAATGTAGTACTCGTTGCAGTTCTCTGCTGGGTATGTAAGTATGTGCAATCAACGCAGAGCCCAAATGGTAAGCGTTATAAAGCTGTCAAAGTGTGGTTGAGCACCAAGAAGTGGTTTTAGAAAATTAGAAATCCGATTAACTTTAAACTTGGTTTATGTATTTACTCTGAGAAAGAATACAAGATAAACTGCGTTGTATTTTTGTAACTTTTCATTAAAGAATAGCATAAATAATTATGATATACTTGTATGTATGTACATATGTATGTGTATGCTCATTTAAATGTTGTGCAGTTGCATAAGTTGACCAAATAACGTTGCCAAATTGTACAGCTTTTAATTCTAGAAATTACTTGCCTTGATTAATCCCTATCATACTATAAAAATAAATATACATGTGAATGCACATATAACCATACATAGTGTTTATTGTACTTTATGTCCTAGCTCTCGAATCGTACCAAAGTAATTTGCTATTTGGGAAATGAGCTCTTTAGAAACTTTACAGAAGAGAAATATCGTATAGTAAATTGTAAGCACAAATACTGAACAAGCAAAGACGGGCAAGACCTGCTAGTATTCTATATAATTCCAATTTTCAGCATGTAACATGCTCCCAAATCGGAAGACCACCTACACTATTAGCTTTCATATTTCGCATCTAAGAACAAGTTAACAAGAAAGGAATGCTAAAGTCGAGCAGGCTCAACTCTTAAATACCCTGTACCACCCCACAAAAAAGTAATTTAATTAATTAATTAATTTAATTAAATTAATTAACTAAATTAATTTAATTAATTAACTAAATTAAATATAAAATATTCCATGCATGCATACATACATTTACATCAGAATCGTGCCTTATGCGTGTTTGTGTACTTGTACATATGTATGTCTGTGTGCATTGGGCCTGGTTTTATGGCTATAACTTTCTTTCCGATCATTCTATCAAAATGAAACTTTGTATACGGATATATAATCACTAACCTAATGTGACTACCAAATTTTAGTTCAAAAGTTCTAGTTCTAGTTCCTAGAATTACGGGAGTTATAGAAAATCGCTAAAAGGGTGGTTGGTGGGGCGGGGGGGGGGGGGGGGGGGTCAGAAAAAATGAACAAACTCGTCCTTTCTCGGTCTCAGGAGAATCTGTATACCAAGATTGGTTATTCTAGCTCTTATACTTTTGGAGATCCTTGCGTTCATACAGACAGACAGACGGACAGACAGACAGACAGAGCTATATCGACTCGTCTCGTCATGCTGATCAAGAATATATACACTTTGTGGGGTCTGCCAGGCCTCCTTCTGCCTGTTACATTTTTCAGCTCGTGCAAACCTAATATACTGTTGTACATTTCATGTACAGAGTATAAAAAGCAAGAAAACGAAAGCAACAACAATGTAGTACAGCAAGCCGACGAAAGTACCGACTACGACACAAAGCAAGATAATGAAACAAACAATGACAACATGTTTAGCGAACAAATTCTGAGTAATTACCATAGCCAAACACCGTTAAGTAAATACAATGATAAGAGTGACATCGTCATAGTAAACGAAAAAGACACAAACGAAAATGATCAAAGCAACGATAGTAAGACCAGGGATGACAAAGAAAATAAGTTTTCCAACACAGAAACACCGAAACGAGATAATACGGAAACTACAACAAGCAACAACAAAAATAACATTGTAAAAGCGAAATCTGAAAAAGAGGATTTAATGCTAAGGGAGATAGAGGTATTGAAACGAGAACTACAAGCCACAATGCGCGAAAACGAAATATTACAATTATTGATCAACAACAGTGCAGTTCCAGCATCCTGCAAAAGCATTCCTTTTACACAACTCAAGGAATTAGTGTCTGAATTTGATCCAATGGGAGGTGACACAGACATTAAATTGTTCAAGCATTGTTCGGTACGATCTATGTACAATTTGGACGAAAACAACGTACGTGCACTCATCGCCAACCGTCTCAAAGGCAAAGACGTAAAATGGTTACAAAGCCGAAACGATTTGTTGACAATCCCAATCAACGAATTGCTCAATGAGATGGAAACTGTTTTTCAAAACAGGGAAAGTCTCCTTTCACTTAAACGTAAGTTTGAAAAGAAGACCTGGCAACTTAATGAGTCTTTCCAAGAATATTTTTACGAAAAATTAATATTATCAACTAAATTAAACGTCGACAAAATTGAGTTACTCGAGCATATAATTGATGGCATTCCAAACTATAATCTACGTACTCAAGCCCGTATGCAACGTTTTAAAAATACAACGGAACTACTTGATGCTTTCAAAAGCATACAATTGAAACCAGATTACACACACAAGATGGATAACAAGCAGAATATCGAGCCTTCAGCCAACGCAAATAGTCGTCAAATGGTCGTCAAATGCTTCAACTGTAACTCCAAAGGACATATGGCCCCTGAATGTCGCAAGCCAAAAAGAACACCTGGAGCGTGTTTCGTTTGCAACGAAATGGGCCACATTTCAATAAACTGTAGCAAACGCAACGACTTGGAACTACGAGAAAATATGAAAGCCAACAACCAGTATGTAAGACTTATAGAGTACTTATTTATTAACAATACTAATGACATCATTAAACACCCTTTAGAAACACTAATTGACACTGGAAGCCCTGTCAGTTTAATATGTGAGGAGAATGTACCCAAGAAACTTATTGAAGACTATTCTTTTGTTCAAAATTATTACGGAATAAATAAAAGTAAACTTATAATCATTGGAGTAATAAAATGTAAAATCAAATTTGAAGATTTAGAATATAATAAAGAACTCTTTGTTGTTCCCAATGAAACAATGCAATATTCAGCTATATTGGGAACTGATTTTCTAGAAAAAGAAGGATTTGTATTAGTAAAAGAAGACCAAATATTTAGAAGGGTAAGCATAGGAAATCAAACTAAATATGATCAAAATGATAATTCAACAAAAGTAGCCGAAACGATAGAGCACAAAATAAATCAAAACAAAGCGAATAAATATATCGGTTTTTATGATAAACAAACAGAAAGGGCTATAGAAAAATGTGTAACAGAAGAAATGCGATCTGCTCAAGAAAAGCTCACAGCAATAGAAGAATGTAATAATTTAATGGCTATTGATATAAATAGCGATGAAAATTACCCATTGATTAACAACACTAACATACATATAAACGACAAGACAAAATTACAACAAATATTTGTTCAACATTATTTAAAAAGTATCCGTCCTGAAAATCCAGCTACCAAATGTCAATTAAAATTAAATCTAAACAATGTAAAGCCTTTTCACTTCAAACCTAGACGCTTATCATACAACGAAAAAGAACAAGTGCAACAAATTATAGACGAGCTATTAGAAAAGAAAATTATAAGGCCAAGTCATTCTGAATATGCGTCACCGGTTGTACTAGTAAAAAAAAAGAGTGGAGACATTCGGTTATGTGTAGATTATAGGACGCTTAACAAAGTTACACCCAAAGATAATTACCCACTGCCACTAATCGAGGATCTTATTGATAAACTAGCAATTAAAGAAATTTTTACATTGTTAGACTTAAAGAGCGCATTCCACCAGATAGATGTTCATTAAGATTCAGTTAAGTACACATCCTTCGTGACTCCGTTAGGCCAGTTTGAATACTCCAAAATGTCCTATGGCCTAAGAAATGCGTCAGCAACATTCCAGCGATTTGTCAACTATGTATTCGATGATATGATTAGACTAGGAAAAGTTGTCATATACTTAGATGACATCATGATTGCGTCGAAATCAGTTGAAGAACATCTAAGTACGCTAACGGAAGTATTTAAAAAATTAACATTAAATAAATTAGAGTTGAGACTAGACAAATGTAAATTTATGGAAGATAAATGCGAATATTTAGGTTATATAATCTCGAAAGAAGGAATACAGCCAGATAAGAAAAATATTGAAGCCATAACTAATTTTCCAATTCCTAAAAACTCCAAAGAAATCCATAGCTTCCTAGGGCTCTGTTCCTATTTTAGAAAATTTATCAAAGAATTCTCTATACAGGCCAAACCACTGTATAACCTTATTAAAAAGAATTCCAAATTTCAATTCAATGAAGAAGAAATACAATGTTTTGAAAAACTTAAGCAAAAATTAATCGACGCACCAATACTCTCTATATATGATCCTTCACACGAAACTGAGCTACATTGCGACGCCAGTTCAATCGGATTTGGGGCAATATTATTGCAAACAAAACTTGATGGCAAAATGCATCCAATATTTTATTTTTCGAAGAGAACCACTGAGTGTGAAGCAAAATATCACAGTTTTGAATTAGAAACGCTGGCCATAATTTACGCGTTACGAAGATTTAAGATTTATCTACATGGAACAAGATTCAAAATAATAACAGATTGTAACTCATTATCGTTAACCTTAAGCAAAAAGGAAATTAATCAAAGAATTGCTCGTTGGGCCTTGGAGCTCGAAAACTATGACTACGAAATTGTCCATAGAGATGGACAGAAAATGAAGCACGTTGATGCACTAAGTAGAATATCCAATATACTTGTATTGGAAGAGAATACGTTTGAACAAAATCTTTCCATTTGTCAAAACGAGGACACGGTTATATGCAACATACGTAAACAATTAGAAGAAAAAGAAAGCAATCTGTATGAAATGAGAAACGGACTATAGATGTTTAGGACCAATGTTGGCTAAATTAACAAGTGCAGGAACCACAAAATCATTAGATAATATACTTCCAGAAATAGAGTTTGCCTTAAACAACACTTTGCACAAAAGCACGGGCACCACCCCAAGTGAGTTATTATTCGGAGTAAGTCAAAGAGGAATTATCATAGACTTCTTAAAAGAACAGCTAGACGACAGAAAACAAGATAGAAATCTTATTGAAAGTAGGTCCAAGGCTAGAGAAATTATGGAAAAAAGTCAAAAGGACAATGAACTATATAAAAACAAACGTAGAATCCATAAAACATATAGAAAAGGAGACTACGTAGCTTTAAAAAATTTTGTGAGCATACCCGGAGCATGCAAAAAAATAATACCAAAATATAAAGGACCGTACAAAGTTAATGAGATACTACCAAATAACAGATATGTTGTATCAGATGTCGAAGGATTTCAATTAGCACAGGTGCCTTACAAAGGAATCTGGGAAGCAGCCAATATGAAACCATGGATGAATATAAAAGTCAGATTCAGAGGAAGAAATTGAAAGTTATGTGTCAGAAAAAGCAAGTGAAAAGTCAGATTCAGAGGAAGAAATTGAAAGTTATGTGTCAGAAAAAGCAAGTGAAAAGTCAGATTCAGAGAAAGAAATTGAAAGTTATATGTCAGAAAAAGTAAGTGAAAAGCCAGATTCAGAGGAAGAAACAGAATATTATATGTTAGATAAAGGGAGTGAAAGATTAGACTTAAAGGAAGAAAAAGAAAAGACAATGTCAAGTAAGGGAAGAATAAAATAAGGAAATAGGAATACTAAACCAATATTAGAAAAGAAAGATAATGTAGCGCAAAATGTAGTAAAAGAAGTCGAAGCTGGTGAACCAACAAAATCAATCAAAGGATCAATAGTAGATATAGGAAATCCTAAACCTGAGTCAGAATATGAATCTTACAATTCAGACGAAGAAAGTGAAAAGGCTAGTTTAAAAAACAGGTGCAAAAAATCTAAAAAAAATACGAGACACTAACGAAGCACTTGCAGAAACTCAGAAATATTGCTTAAGAAATCGACCTACGAAAAAAAATATTAAATCCATTTAAACACATGTGATATCATTATCTATTGAAATAAGCAAATAATCGGGACGATTAAATGTCAGGATAGCCGAATTGTAAACAAATCATTACTATTTAAATCAAATTAATGTTGTATAGTATATACTTGGACATTGTGCAATAAATTATAAATCACTAAAATTAAGAATAATTATACATACTAAAAAATACTACGTTAAATTAAAATAATGCATAAGCAAACAATATGGTAACGCCTGTAAAAAGAACAAGCTGGCAACTCAAAATGATAAAGAAGGGGAGTTGAGTTTGAAAAGCAGAAGCGTACGCATGTAAAGAAGGAGAGCTGCTTACAAAAAAAAACCGAAATTAATTAATAAACTTAAATAAAGTATAAGATAAGAAAAATCATAAAAGAACTATAAGGGCAAAGCTTTTTATTCACCCTTACAGTATGTATGTATGTGTGTACATACATACATGTGCCCGCAATGCGAAGCAGAATATGCGTAGCTCCGTTATTCGGTTTCTGCTTTACTATCACTGAGTAAGTGCCTACCGACGGTAACTGTAAACTTTTGGCATTTTGCCATTGCAATTAAAAGGCGTAGATGATCAAAAAATGTGAACGAAAGAATAAGACCGTGCCAATGAATTGCAGTTGCTGTTCTTGCTTTTCGTTTTAAAAATTTTATTTATGATTTAAATTTTAAAACCATTGAACAATATTTATTACAATTAAACAACAGTGTTCGATGTTCTACTGTATATACAAATTGTATATACTTATGTACTTGTATATGTAAGTACATATGTATGTACATATGCATGCATGAGTTTTGTTTTGTTTATCTTTACTGTTTCAACAGAGCGTAGAACCGTGTATGCGTAGTCAAGGGCGTACGGTCCGTTTAAATAATAATTTATGCATATGATTAATAAACATTTTTTAACAAATCCAACTCAGTTCCATTTTAAGGCGAAATAGTGCGCCATTATAACGAATGTGTGGTCGACTTCATATTGCGAAATTTTTTCTAGAGGGGACAACGGCCCTCTGGCCCACTGAGTACTCCCTTGTAGTCTGCTTTCCTAAATTGCTCGTTAATTTTTGTGTTATTTTTAGTGTATAGAGTAAAGAAAAATTAGATTTTATTTGTTAATGAAAACCCTAATGCCAAATGTACTAAACAACGAAAAAACAAGAGAGAACGCTACAGTCGAGCAAGCCCGACAGTAAAATAGCCTGTTCTCTCCACAAAAAAGGAAAATTAAAAAAAAAAAAATAGTTAAATTGTTAATAGTTAAAAAAAATTAAATTATTAAAAATTATTAATTAATTAATTAAGTAATTAAAGTAAATTAGAAGACATGTTTTTGTTCAGTTTAAACAGCATACATTTAAATCACGTGCCTATTCGTGTTTATATGCGTGTATGTATGTATGCAGTTGAAGCAAAGCAGCAACAACAACAGCTGCGGGCAGCGCTGCCAGCAGAGCTGCAGGCAGCGCATGAGCAGCGATTTTATTTATGGCTATAACTGTGATCTTGTGTATCATAGAATGTTTATTATTGATAACGATACCAAGATATATGATATAGTTAATAAACAACAATTTAAACAAAAATTAGAAAAGAATGCCAAAGTCGAGCAGGCTCAACTCTTAAATACCCTGTACCACCCCACAAAAAAGTAATTAAATTAATTAATTAATTTAATTTAATTAATTAACTAAATTAAATATAAAATATTCCATGCATGCATACATACATTTACATCAGAATCGTGCCTTATGCGTGTTTGTGTACTTGTACATATGTATGTCTGTGTGCATTGGGCCTGGTTTTATGGCTATAACTTTCTTTCCGATCATTCTATCATAATGAAACTTGGTATACGGATATATAATCACTAACCTAATGCGACCAAATTTTAGTTCAAAATTATTATTATTATTCAAAATTACGGGAGTTATAGAAAATCGGTAATAGGGGGGGGAGTGGGGGGGTGGATCAGAAAAAATGAACAAACTCAGGAGAATCTGTATACCAAGTTTGGTTATTCTAGCTCTTACACTTTCGGAGATCCTTGCATTCATACAGACAGACAGACGGACAGACAGACAGACGGACAGGCGGACATGGCTATATCGACTCGGCTTGTCATGCTGATCAAGAATATATATTCTTTGTGGGGTCTACCAAGCCTCCTTCTGTGTGTTCCATGTGCACTCGCACAAAACTAATATACCCTTGTACCCTTTGGGCACAGGGTATAAAAAGCTAAAGTCGGGTGTGCCGACTTTTAAATACTCTGTTCATATGATTAGAATAATTATAGGAATAAAAAAATTAAGAACGTTAAAAAAATATATTTTTGATCGATTTTACCTCTCTCGGTATTCGAACTTACGTAAAGGGTGTATAATTGCACATTTACAAAGCAATTGCGTCTATGTGAATGTATGTATGTCTATGCGCCTCTATTCGTGTCTGTGTAAGCATGTTTGAAGTCAACCAAAGCACCAACATCAACATCAGCTGTGGGAAGCACTTGGGCAGCAATTATATTTATGGCTATAACTTCCTGTTAAATCGGTCTATCATAATGCATACATAATAACTAAATGGGGGTATTTGCAAAATTTGTACTCAAAATTTCAACAATTACGGGAGTTAGAGAAAATCACGATTTGGGTGAAGAGGGGGAGGGAGGGAAATTCCAAAATACACATTTTCTGCGTATTCACATAAGGCATCTTGGATTTAAAATTTGATGTCCCTAGGTCTTATAGTCTCCGAGATATAGGCGATTATACGAACGGCGGACAGACAGACAGACAGGGTTAGATCGACTCGTCTCGTCATGCTGATCAAGAATATATATACTTTGTGTGGTCTGCCACGCCTCCTTCAGCCTGTTACATTTTTCACCTCCCGCAGACCTAATATACTCTTGTACATTTCATGTACAGAGTATACAAATTAACAACAAATACAGGTTAGCTAAGCTGCTAGGACTTAAAAGTTGAAATCGTAAAATAAGAAAAGTAGATGCAAAGTTTTAAAGATGTTATACAAGTAAAATGTATGAACTTACTTTGGATTTTCTTCATATTTAGGTAAGGCTTCTGATAAGATGACCAAAATCAAAAAAACTATTAATTGAATCACGGTTTTACTATTATTATTCATGGTGTTATTGTTTAATTATTTTTATTTAATTTTCCCTTACACACAGCCTGTCACTTCCAATAAATTCAACATCCAACTAACAATGTCATATAAAGCCTCGCACATTTTATACCTTCAACGAAAATAAAATAATTTAATTTTTTTACGATGCGTCCCATAATGATCAGTAATTTTTCCTAGTATTATGTTTGTGCAAAGCCCAACACAAGTAAAATGAAAGCAAAAAGACATTGCAAGCAATGAAAACATTAGGCAAACTTCATACATAACTTTTAAAATTACGTTATCCAATTACCAAACGAAATAGGCGCAACATGTAATGTTCGTGCACACAATGTGTATGTACAGTAGATCCACAAAAAGTATTACTATTATTTGCTTGTTATACTCTGTACATGAAATGTACAAGAGTATATTAGGTTTGCGGGAGGTGAAAAATGTAACAGGCAGAAGGAGGCGTGGCAGACCCCACAAAGTATATATATTCTTGATCAGCATGACAAGACGAGTCGATCTAGCCCTGTCTGTCTGTCCGTCTGCCAGTCTGTCCGTCCGTATGAACACCTGGATCTCAGAGACTATAAGAGCTAGAGAGACCAACTTTTGCACGAAGATGACTTATGTGTGTACGCTATACGAGTTTGTTTTATTTTTTTGATTTTCCCTCCCCACTTCCCCCCTATGGGGGTTTTCCCGATTTTCCATTCCTTTATCTCGGAGACTATAAAACCTAGGGACACCCAATTTTAATCCCAAATGCCTTATGTGAATACGCAGATAATGTGTATTTTGGAATTTCCCTCCCTCCTCCCTCTCCTACGAAATCCATAACTCCCTTAATTCTTGGAACTTTTCATTGAAATTCAAAAAATACCTCCCGTTAGTGATTGTGAGTCCGTAAGTCGAGTTTCATAATGATAGGCCGATTTAGCAGGAAGTTATAGCCATATATGTATATATGACCAAGCAGGGACCGCAGCTGTTGTTGTTGTTACTGCTTTGCACAGACACACACAAACACACACATACACGCATAGATACGCATAATTATACTACACATAGTATGTACAGAATGTTTCAAAGTCGCGATACCCAACTTTAGCTTCACTATTTGTTTTTTTGAACAATTTCTATAGCCCATAATGAAAATTGGGAAGGTATATCGTTTTTAGTGTGTTAGTTTGTACCACCCAAAAGGAATGGTAGACCATAAGGTTTATGTACCTACTCGTGGGTATAAAAAAATATTTTAAGAATTATTATTAAAAAAGATAAATGAATCAAATAAATAAATGTAATTAAACAACAAATATTAAATACATACAACATAAGTGCAGACATACATATGATTACGTGCACTTTCAACAGCATAATTAACATCAGAAGCGTGTCTATGCGTGTTTATGTGAGCGTATGTATAGAGTACAGAATTACGACAAAACAGGAACACCAATAACACGTGCGGACAGAGCTTAGGCAAAGATTGTATATGTATTTTACTCGACAGTGAAATACCCTGTACCTAGAACTCGTATAGACTAGGGACTAAGAGCGTCCAAAAATGTGCGTCCAGCTTATGTTCGTCGGACGGACGAACAGACGGGCGGACATGGCTAGATAGATTTCTCTTGTCATGCTGATTAAGAATATATGTACTTTATGGGGTCGAAGAAGCCTCCTTCTACCTTTTATACCCTGTACCCTTCGAGTAAAATGGGTATACTCTATTATATTTGATGTATATTGATGAAACACGAAGAAACATAAGCACTCACATGAAAAAATTTTCAACTTTTATTGAACAATTCCAAGAATTACTGAAGTTATGAAAATCACTCATAGCGGAGGAGTAAGGAAAGGAAAAAAATTCGGATATACACATTTTTTGCGTACTCATATAAGGCAATTTTGTGTTCCCAGAACTATAGCCTCTGAGATATATACATATATGGGATTCTAATCTTCGCATGCCATCGTATTTAATCAGATTGTTGCTAATAAATCTTCCTTCATTAACAAGCCGCAGGACTGTTCTTGGACTGTTCTCCACAACCCAGTTATCGGTGAGGTAGACTCCTCTGCCCTTTTAGGTCGCCTCAACTTTTCCGTTCCTTGTAAACCAACAAGGAATTTTTTGCACACAAGCCGAGTCGATATAGCCATGTAAAATGTCCGTCTGACTGTCCGCCTGTCTTTCTGTCTGTATGAGCGCAAGGATCTCAGAAACTATGGAATATTTTATATTTTATTTAATTAATTAATTAAATGAATTAAATTTTTTAAATAAATTTTTTTTTTATTGGGTGGGGGGGGGGGGGTGGGTATTTTACAGTTGAGCCTGCTCGACTTTAGCATTCCTTTCTTGTTTTTTTAGCCTGTTAGGTCTATAATGTCTACATATGGCTGTGATTCGGAGCATAGCTGGCCAAATGGCAAATAAAGTTCCCCCACCGGGTCGGAGGCCTTAATAGACGTTATTATATAATTGTTTAATTAGGCTTTCTTATCTTTTAAGTAGAAATTATAGCGTTGTATTATTAAAATTTTTTTTATTTTTTTTACAATATTATATTATATATAGTTGTTGATTTACTAAATAAAATAAAATAAAATATACGAACGGCGTAACGACATTACGAATGGCGTTACGGAAAGTCCCCAATATCGAGGATGTTGGGGTGCATTGAAAAATTAAAACAAACTTGGACAGCGTCATCTATGTGTAAAATTTTTTGTCACTAGCTCTTATAGTCTCTGAGATACGGACAGGCGGAAAGAGAGAACAGACTGGGCTATATCGACTTGTCAAAGTGCAGATCAAGAATTTACATATACTTTGTAGGGGTCTGCCACGCCTCCTTCTGCCTGTTACATTTTTCACCTCTCTCAAACATAATATACTCTTGTACATTTCATGTACAGAGTATACAAATTGAATTTTTTTTATTAACATAATAATAATTGTTATAGTGACAAAATTCGAGGTACTTGAAATCAACTAAAAGAGCTGACAGCATAAGTCAGCCAAACGTGACTCATTACACTGGCCGACACACATTTTGGTGCCGAAGATTTTGTACCTGATTCTAAATATGTCTTGTGAGTAGAGTTGGACAAGAGCCGTGTTTTCCTGTTGAGCTAAAAAGGCTCGACAAAACACGCTCGAGCAAACACGAAAAAACCCGAATATAACACGAAAAAAAATTAACAACTAAAGTAAGAAAATAAAAACAAGAGAGAACGCTACAGTCGAGCAAGCTCGACAGTGAAATATCTTGTACCCGTCACTGAGTTATATGCGCCCAGAAGCAAAAAGAGGAAGAAGAAGAGCGAACTTGATGCCGCAGCTTGAAGGCGTAGTACAGGAGTGAAATTGTTTCGCTAATAACTTTTCTTAGAAATTACCGATTTTGATGAAAAATAAACCAAACATAGATAATTATATATTAATTATTGATTAAAATCACAACACAAACCTAAAATGGAGGGGAGGGGAGGAAAAATCAAAGAAATAAAGTAAACTCGTATAGACTAGGGACTAGGAGCGTCTGCATACTAAGTTTGGTTAATGTACTCTCAGCAGTTTTGAAATTCAGGCGTTCATTTAGACAGGCAGACGGATAGACGGACAGACGGACGGACGGACATATCTAGAACGATTTCTCTCGTCACGCTGATTCAGAATATATATACTTTATGGGGTCGGAGATGTAGGTTACATGCTTTGCACAAACCTAATATACCCTTTTTAGCCTACGGGTACAGGGTATAAAAATAGTCAAATAATGCAATACAAATTTTCTGGTCAGGACAAGAATAGATTGATTGAATAATGGACACCTCTTTCATCCGGACACTCTCTTCGGCGGACATTTTTTCTAAAACATTCGATCGGTGTATAGAGTATTTAAGTATCCCCTTAAGCAGACACTCCTCTTGGGCGGACAAAAATAGGTAAGTGTCTGGCCAAGAGAGTTTTCATTGTATACATATGTATATGTAGTGCTATTGATCCATGAATTTGTGTGTTAAAGTACTGGAAAAAAAACCAAAAAAAAAATTTCTAATTGCAAAGGCAAATATCAAGACATATAGTCAATATCCCTGACAGCTTTTCAAACAAACGAGTTTTTTCCATTTCTGGAGAAATTCTCTTCTTAGCTCAAATATAGATGAGTACATATTGTTTAATAAAAATGGGAAGTGCTTAATACGGATATATTTTTCGTTTTTACATTTATTGGTTATAACAGGTTCGTGTTGGGACGAATTATACTCTGTACATGAAATGTACAAGAGTATATTAGGTTTGCGCGAGCTGAAAAATGTAACAGGCAAAAGGAGGCGTGGCAGACCCCACAAAGTATATATATTCTTGATCAGCATGACGAGACGAGTCGATCTAGCCCTGTCTGTCTGTCTGTCCGTCTATACGTCTATACGTCTGTCCGTCCGTCCGTCCGTATGATCACCTAGATCTCAGAGACTATAAGAGCTAGACACCAAATTTTGCACAAAGATGCCTTATGTATGTACGCTATACGAGTTTGTTTTATTTTTTTGATTTTCCCCCCACTTCCCCCCTATGGGGGTTTTCCCGATTTTCCATTCGTATAATCGCCTATATCTCGGAGACTATAAGACCTAGGAACACCAAATTTTAGTCCAAGATGCCTTGTATGAATACGCAGAAAATGTATATTTTGGAATTTCCCTCCCTCCCCCCTCTCCCCCGCAAATGCGATTTTCTCTAACTCCCGTAATTCTTGGAATTTCGAACTAAAATTTAGCAAATACTCCCATAAATATATTTGCTGCTGCAGCGCTGCCCGCGGCTGTTGTTGATGTTGCTGTTTAGTTGACTGCGAAAATGCTTACACAGACACAAATAGACGCGCATAAGCATACATACACTCACATAGACGCAATCGTTTTGTATATGTGCAATTATATACCCTTTGCTTGAGTTCGAATACCGAGAAAGGTAAAATCGATCAAAT